CTACCCTTTGCCCTTAAAGCCATAGCTCCTATTGTTTCTCATTTGAATGCAATACCTTCTCTTTCAAATTTTCTGTAAGTGTAATATCTTGTAACAGAAGCTTTTGGCTAAGAAATCCTGTCAATTGTAATCAACTCTATTACAAAATGTCTCACTAAAATCCATCAAAGGTTTAAAGAAGAAATACAAAGTAATTTCTTAAGAATAACTAAGATCTATATTATGACTTGTTAAGCAGAATCGTAAGAGAGGAAAGTAGAGGAAGACAAAGTAAAGAATGTGTGGAAAAGATGGAAAGATACAGAGAAAACACAAATGAGACAGACACGATGTCAGAAAGAGAGAAGAGCAGAACAAGAGACTAAGAGAGGCATAATTTTGAAACAGAACTTGGGACATGTCCCACAGGCACATCCTCATGACACACTACAGGCTCAGATACAGAATGGGCAGCTTCTAGGAAAACAAGAGCAATACAACAACACAGAATAAAATACAAACTGCACACACATTGTGCTACGAACACCCTGAGGATAATAACAAGACATCTACACCCAAATATATGTACCCCAAAGAGTAACATCTCCATCTTGTGGCCTTGAAGATAGTGTGATGTTGTGCATTTTCACAACTGTAGGCATAAATGCAGAAAAGACACTTGGTTACCTGTCTCAGATACAAAATAAACATGAAATGAGGTCAAAGCTCCCCATGCTCCCCCACTAACTCCTGAGAAAGCTATGACTTGCACCATTTTGTAGAAAACAATTAAGAAGAAAAAAGTGGCAGAGATGGCTTCTAACTCCTTTCCAGTTTTCTTGCCTTCATTATTGTTTCTCAAAGTACCCTGAAGTTTAAAACTATTTCAGCAACCTAGAGTTCTATAGACTGCAAAAATCCGATTTATCAAGTTACTGCTTGTAAACTTCTCAGAACACTAAGTGCTACTACGATTGTTAAATAAATAAAAGACAATGCATAGCATTTCTAGCCAAATGGGATAGCTCCTGCACCCAGATCATCCTCTGAGCCCCATGTCCTTGGCCTCTACAGGAATGCTCTCTAGTGCCCTCTTCTGATGCTTCCTGAACTTCCCACTCCACTCCCATCTCCACCCCTTAAAACACTACGTCTTTCAAGCAGAATTTAAGAGCCCTACATCCCTGTCCCCAAGGTTAGTCTCATTAAAGGCACTGATGTGACTCTTGTTGCCAAGTCCAACAAATGCCTTTAACTCTCATCCTATGTGACCTCTCAGAGGCAAGGCAGCACTGTTGGCCATTCTTTCCTTTATGAAAAGTTCTTTGTGATGTTGATGTCCCTGCCTCTCTGGTTGCCTACCTGCTTCTCTGACCTCTCATCCATGGGGAGTCTCCCCCCTCCCCAAGTACTGATGCCCCTTGGGGCTCTGTCTCAGATGGCTTCCCACCCTGCTCTTGTCCCCTCCTGCAGTGGCATTTCCCTGTTAGGGTTTTACCTTATTCCACTTGACCCCAGGGAAGGAAGACAATTAGCTATGCTCAGTCCATCAATTTATCAGAGAAAAATCTGAGTTCATTCCAACAATATTTTTCTATCCATAGGATACCAAGTATGCTAGCTCAACAACATTTTTTTTAAAACAGTTTTGCATCCCATGGGGACAATGGGATCTAAAGAGGAGGTGGTTATGGCTCTATCTTGTATGCCTTTTCATGGGACTCTATTTCCTTGCCCAAGATGGATGGCTCTCTTCCCCTGGGAAGGAGATCACCCTCAAAATGTTTTCAGTTGACACAAGTAATCTTCATTTTAATGCACATTTTGTTGGGTCAGGGGAGGGCATTCCAGAGAATGAGACTGCCTAGAATTACTCACTATTAGACAGCATCTGGGATAGAGTTAGAGGCAATTACTAACCACTAACCAGTGCTGAATTGAGGGGCAGCCAAGCATGCCATGGATCTTGCCCCAAGGACCTGCCAATCTGGTTGTGGGTACAGAATACCTACACTGGAGAGTCAGCCAGCTAGGTAGGGCATGCAATGAGACAACCCTGTAGGTGACAGGCAAAAAAATGTTCTGTAAGCCCAGGGAAAGCACAGATTAAAAAAAAAAAAGTGGGGGCCAGTCACAGGATGATAATAATCACCTCTTATGGGATATCCACCACATATCAGCCCTCTATGCAAACTCTCTCTCAAATCTACCTCAGGAGCTGTGGTGAGGAGTACACAAAATGACTTCTATCAAGATCCTAGTGTTGTGCTTGACACAAGTGGGGTTGCAATAAATTGCAGCTATCATTCATTTAACAAATATTTGTGCATTAACTACCATGTGTCAGGTAACATGCAGTTTCTGGGAATGCAATGCTAAACAAGACACATGTGTTTTCTGCCCTTACTGAACTTACATGCTAGAGATGTATTGTCCAATATGGTAGCCACTAGTCACATATGGCGATCAAAATAAAAATTTAGTTCCTCAGTTACGCTAGATGCACTTCATGTGCTCAACAGCCACAAGTGGATATAGACTGCCATTACTGCAGAAAGTTCTATTGGCTGGTAGTGGAAAGGGGCAGAGAAACAATAGGCAATGGCACACCTGTGTGGTAAAGGCTGGGATAGAGGCTAACAGGTGCAAAGGGAGAACACTATTGTTATTATTACTCTTCTCATTACAAGCAAGATGTATAAATTGAGGCTCAGAGAGGTAAAGTAATTTGACCGAGTTCACATGGCTGCTAAACAGAAAAGTTGTGATATGAACCCAGTTCTTTCTTGCTCTCATGTTACCTCAGGTGGTTTTATGGAGGAAATGAGCCAGGCACAGGTAGAAGCTAGTTAAAGAGAGAAGATGGAGAAAGCAACCCTGGTGGGAAAATGACAGTTTGGGCAAAGGCACAAAGGCACAGATGGGCAAGGCTGGCAGAAGATTACAAGTAAACCAGTCTGGCCAGAGAGGCAGTGATTTGCTGCACTCATGTCCTAGGAGATGTAAGTCAGGACCTGCCTGCCTTGATTAAAAACCACAGAGCAAGGCAACTCAGCCCTCCACGCAGAGGTTGAGTCCTTGAAGGGTGGCAAGCAGGGGCACAACATGGTCAGAACCACACATTATGAAATGGGCAGCGTTCAGGACAAACTAGCTAAGATAGCAAGGAGGATAGAAAGGAAGGGATGACCGAACATTGGGAAGCAAAGAACATCAGCATGGGAGCCTAGATACCAATCCCCAAGGTTCAACACTGTGTGACCTTGGGCAATATACTTTACTATTCTGCACTTGTCTTTAACTCTAAAAGGGCATGGTCAGCCTGGAAGATTTTTTGAGGGTCCTTTTAGCAACAGTAATCTAGAATCCTAAATAAAATATGAATGACACTAGACTAGGAAGAAGGAGAAGCACTTGGGAATGTAGCATTGAATATGGAGGCAAGGAAGATGGTAGAATCAAAGAAAGACTATCCTGGGATGAAGGGGGTGACATACCACTAACAAAACCAGGTAAGTGTGTGCAAGAACTTGTCTTTTGGTGGGAGGGGAGTGGGCATAAAATATGGGGGTTGACAAGGATAAGAACTAATGAGAAAAATGGTGGATTTAAAAAAAAAAGTTGCACAGTGTTATAAATCATTTTAAACTTTGTATGCCTTATGATTCACAGTAGGAAATACAATGTACACATGGTCCAGCACCCTTGTCCAATATATGTAACTGAAACAAAAGTTTTATGATACAACGATTGTCCTTACTAGGGGCAATGGCTCTAATATTTTCGACTAGCTTCCACTTCGTACTTTTAAAAAGCTGGTTGCCATCCACCGAACTTATTTTACGGTCTATTCATGTGTCATGATCCGCAGTTTTCAAAATACTGCCTTAGAGGACTCAAGTCCTAAGTTGGAGGCGGCTGGCAGGGCATCCTGCCCAGCCATTCTGGAGGAGCACACCTGGAGAGGGCTCGGGGCTGGGGAGAGTCGGGGCGGCTGTAAGTGAAGCTGGGAAAAGCGAGGCCTGGGAACCAGGCGGTGGGAAGCTGCGGTCCAGGTGCTCAGGACGGGGACGCGGAGGCCGAGCAGGCTGGCGCGGAGCCAGGCCCCGCAGGAGTTGGGCGACCCCCGGGCGCTCCAGAACCTGCGTCCCCGCGCGGCGGGGCCAAGTCCCCCTCCAGGGCGGCGCGCGCCCGCTCGCTCCTCCGCTCCCCGCGGGTCCCTGCGGGCGCCGGCCGGGGCCGAGGGGGCGCGGCGCTCTGGCGGCCGGGGCTCCCCTCCCGCCGGCCCGGCCCGCCCCGGCACGCGCGCTCACACACGCGCACACACTCAAAGTTCGGGCTGCGCCCGCCGCGGACCGGCTCCGGGGCTTCGGAGGGGACCGTGCTCGCCGGCCCCGGCCCCGAGCGCCGCTCGGCTCCCGCCCGTCCGCTCCCGGCGCCCGCGCGGCCCGCCGCGGTGCTCGCCGCCGCCGCCCCCGCGCGGTGCCCTCGGCCGGCGGCCCGGCGGCCCGGCTCTGCCCTCCGGC